TTCCTCTTCCTCTAGGTCCCCTCCTCCTCCTCCTCCTCCTCCTCCTCGGCCAGCAGCGCCCCCCAGAGCAGCCTCCTCCAGAAACCCAGCCCCCTGCTGGCTCGCCTTCCCAGTCGCTCGCGGTTTCAGCTGAACAACACCGATCAAAGGGAACCCCAGGTGCACCCCAAGTTTCCAGGGGAATCGTGTCCTCGCCCTGGGAAAGGGTGGGTTATGTAAAGCAGCCTGCGACCCGGCGAGCCCGCCTCGCAAGCCGTCTCCTTTGTGTCTTTCTTTAGTCCCCGCCACCAGATATTCGGGGCGCAGTTAAGAGAACAGCGCCGCTTCCCACTCGCTGTCTGGCGTCATCCCCGTCGCCGCCGCCTCCCGCGCTGGGGAGCTGGCAACTCGCGACCGTTCCCCAGACACTGCTCGGCTTTCACAGGCAGCCCAGGCAGCTGCCCGGCAATGAAATTCCCCAACCCGCTGCCTTTCGGGGCCCCCCGCCCCCCGCAAATGAGACTCATTCCCTGAGGGGCATCTCCTCCGAGGACCCGAGCAGCCACGCGGCTCCCCGTTTTCACGCCGCATTATTTGAAAAAGAATTTACCGCCATCACTATCCCCGCCCCCCACACTCGTCCTAAAGACAAACACTGCAGCCAATCCTGTCCTCTGCGGCCAGACGGGCTGCGGCTTCTTTTTTTCGGAGGCAGGAGGGTCTGCAGGCAGGGTTACCGGGGGGCCTGCCGTCGGAGGGGCGGGAACCCCAGGCAGGTGTGGAACTCCACCTCCCCTCCCGCGAGGCCAGCGCTGCCCTGGGCTGGGCATCCTCTCCCCTCACTCCGCCCGGCTCCGGGGACGCCATGGGGGTGGAGGGTGGAGAGAAGACTGAGCTTACACCCCTCTCCCCCCAGCACAGGGCAGGCCCCCCAGCTCCAGGGCTGGAAATTAGTTAGCGGGTTGCATTGTTTTCGTCAAGCTTTGCCCGCACCTGGCATCTTAGACTCTGAAAGAAGCTGCATTTGGAAATCATGGCAAGTGTAACGTCTATTTGCCTTCTTCCCTCTCTGGGAGGACTATGCTGGGCGTTAGGACGGGGTTCTGGGAGGGTGATGGGCCTGGAAACACGTGGGGTTTGTTCTCCCGGTGCTCCCATCTCCTTGCAGAAAATATTAGCTACAATGTGCTCTTTCGGGTAAGAGATGGGGCGTGTGTTTGAGAAGATGGGGGGTGGGAGGGGCTGTGTCCTGTGTGAGGGTCACACCAGAGGGTCAGTAAACTGCAGAGGCTGGAGGTGGGAGGCAGGGGGGGCTTGTCCAGGGCGCAGAGCCCAGCCCTCCCTGCAGACTGCGGACAAAGTAACACAATTTTCAGGAAGCAACTCCCGCACCCCACCCACACCCGCAGCATTTCGGAGAGAAGCAAGGAAAAGAAACTAAACAACAACTCCGGCTGCTTTCCTGCGTCTCCGGGGGAAATGTGAAAATAAGTAACATTTCCGGGAGGATGGAAGGTGCTGGAGACCCGCGCGCTTCTGGCTGCGCCCGGCAGAGATTGGCTCCCGGCAGTGGCCGCCGCCGAAAGGCCTTCAGCTCACAAACAAAACGCGGCCTCCTCCCAGGACGCACCTCTTGCAAAGCTAATTTGGAAAAATGGGCTTGTTTCTGCTTTTTAAAGTGTGCACTGAATGTGGAGCAGGATCAGGCCCTCCATCATCGCTTTACAGCCGCGTGCACTTTATTTCCGTGTGTGTGTCTGTCCGTGTACTGATTTATAGGCAGGATATGCAATGTTCCTCCTACATAAGCGTTCGTGGATCTGTAGTTAATATTCAGTCCTAAGACTGGCATTGGATCAGAGCAGCAGATGACTTTCATGGTGATTGTTGTTAGTCAGACTCATCCTTTCACAGTTACCTGTTTACAAAGACCCCTCATTCCTAAGGGCTATTACAGAAGGGGGGGCAGAGGCTGGGAAACGCCCCCCTCCGAGGACACAGTGAGGACTGA